CCCCTCGCGGGGCGCAGGAGGCGGAGGAGGCGCGGGTCTCCCGCAGCTGCAGCCAGCTGCCCCGAAACCTGCCCGTTCAGCTGCCCAGCGCGCTACAGTAACCATCGCGGACCCCCAGCCGCAGCTGTTGGAGGCGCTGCTGCTGCCCTTCGAAAGCGCCGTCGCGCCCACAAGCCCGCCAGCGCTGGCGAAGCTTCTACCACTGCCGGTGGCGTCAGTGGTGCCGGTGGTGTTGGTGGTGCCGCTGGTGGTGCTGCCGGTGCTGCTGGTTCTGCTGCTGCTGCTGCTGCAAGCACTGCGGCTGTTGCATCTGCAGCAGCGCTCGATCTCGCCTCCGCCTCGCCATTCCTCGCATCTGACGTGGGTCCTGCCGCCCCTGCAGTCCGCTCTTGAGGCTCAGCGCGGCATCAAAGAGGCTCTCCAGGCCGTCTTTGCTTCGGACGCTGCCGAACCTGCAGGCTCGGAAGCCGACGGGGCGACCGTAGCTGCGGAGGGTCGCGGTGGTGGAAGGAGTCGGGCACGGAGGTTCGGGAGGGCGGGGAGGTTTGCGATTGGACGGTGGTTCGGGTGTGAGCGCGGATGGGTCGGTGGAATGGGAGGAGAAGTGGTGGGAGGCTAGCGATGAGTTTGATTTCAAAGAGCTAGGAGCGGAGAAGTCCGGGAGGGATGCGAATGGGGCTGTGTGGAGGGAAACGTGGAGGGAGGCGACTTGGCAGGACTCTAAGACTGGCTGATGCATATTGAGAAGACGGCGGATAAGTGGGGGCAGAATGGGGAGGGTGGCGAGTGGCATGAGAAGTGGTGGGAGCACTATGATGCGACGGGGCGGGCGGAGAAGTGGGCGGATAAGTGGAGCAAGATTGACATGTACACGCCGCTGTATGACGGGCATGCGCACACGTGGCATGAGAGGTGAGTGGGGTGAGATGTGGTGGGGGTGAGATGTGGTGGGGTGAGATGTGTGGGGTGGGGCCATTAGGATGTCACAGGGAAGGCGGATAAGTGGAGCAAGATTGACATGTACACGCCGCTGTATGACGGGCACGCACACACGTGGCATGAGAGGTGCGGCTGGTACAAGCCAAAGTTCTGTGGCGCTGCAATAGTGGAATGGCGTTTGAGTTGCTCGCGAGACATGATTGTCACGTGCACGCCGCTGCATGATGGGGACGCGCATGCATGGCATGATGGGGACGCGCATGCATGGCATGATGGGGACGCGCATGCATGGCATGATGGGGACGCGCATGCATGCATGATGGGGACTCGCATGCATGGCATGAGAGTTGAGCGAGGAGGACACGAAAGCGGGTCAGGCTAGGCTAGAGAGTGGGGTGGTTATGGTGAGTTGTGCGGAAGAATCAAGGGAAAGACGAAGTGAGTAGGTGAGTAGGGGTAGCAGGTGAGCAGGTGATGACAGGAGAGGTGCATGAGGCTGAGAGTAGCGTCTAAGTGTTTCGAGACGTCTCAAAACAGCGTGTAAGTGTGGTGACTGGCAGGTGACTTTTGAGTCGACTAAAAGTCAACATGAGAGGTGGAGAGCAGCGTCCTAAGTGTGGTGGCTGGCAGGTGCCTTGCCAACTGATGGCTGAGGGCAGGTGCCTGGCAGGTGCCTTGCCACAATCATGTGGAGGGCATCGTCCTGAGTGAGGTGGCTGGCAGGTGCCTTGCCAACTGATCTGATGGTACTTCTATTTCCCTCCCTTTTCACTTCCCCCCCTTCCACTTCCCTTCCTCCCTCCGTGTATCCCAGGTGGGGGAGGAGTACGACGGCAGGGGAGCGGCGGTCCAAGTGGTGTGACAAGTGGGCAGAGCGGTTCGAAGGCCACGATGGGTACGGCAACCAGCTGTGGGCCAAGTGGGGCGACAAGTGGGATGAGAAATTCAACCGAGACAAGACCGGGTACCGGCAGGGGGAGACCTGGTGGCAGGGGTCCGGAGGGGACGATGCCCCCCGGTGGAACAAGGTGTGGAGCGAGGGGCATGACGGGTCGGGGTGGGTGCATAAGAAGGGCGGCGCGAGCAGTGGCGAGGGGTGGGATGTGCGGGAGTGGATGGACACGTGGTTTGATGCTTTCCCGCACTTTGGGTTCAAGCAGTGTCTGGAGAATTCGCGGAGGCTCATGGAGGTGGGGAGGCGGCAGGGCAAGAAGCAGAAGTAGAGGGGTGGGGAGGTGGAGAGAGAGGTGGGATGAGGAGCAGAAAGCAAGATCTGGCGCACAAGTGTGTGTGTGACTGTAACACTTGCCCTCCTATGAGTTCAAGCATTGGTGTGTCGTCGAAGGCGTTCAGGCTTCAAGCAGTGCTTGGAGAACTTGAGACAGTTGATGGAGGTGGGGAGGGGAGGTAGCAGCAGAGGAAGTAGGGAGAAGGGAGAGAGGAGGTCGGTAGTACTGCGATTGTCTTATGGATGGTCATGGTGCATTCCTGCTGATATGTGTGGCTCTTCGTTGCATCGCTGAGGGCATGCAGATGGATGGTGATGGTGATGGTGATGGTGATGGTGATGGATGGTGGTGGGAAGGCATGGCATGATAGGATGGGCTGGCTGAAGGCTGCTGTGTCGGGGGAGCATGCATGCATCACGACAGTGTTCTATACAACCTATTTGATGCCCTGCCCGGGACATGCAGAGTAACATGTTATTGCTTTATGTATTTTGATTTTCTTTCAGAAGCTTGAGGTCTCCCATTTATCTAGTGCCTGAAAGCTGTGCGGTACGGTATCCTGTTCGAAGCTATTTTACGTCAATAGAGCCTAGAAGGTGACACTGGTACACCTCCACACGTCTGGTCATCTGCCTTGGTTGGCCCACCACACCCACCCACCCACATCAACCCCATCATTCCTCACAATCCGCAACGAGCATGTCGGGCTTTAAGCACCCTGCGCTTCTCAAAGAAGCAGCACTGTATTTGTTTTATTATGACACATTCTGTCAACAGTCAAGCCCCATTTATTGCTTCTTGCCACCGATGCCGATGACCTTGAAGGCACCATAGGCTGTGGCGCCCAGGAGGAAAACAGCCACGGTGGGGGAGAAAGCGGGATACACGAGATCCATTGCCAGCTGATCCAGCTCCTCCGATAGGAAGCCTGCACAGGGGCAGGGTGGGGGGAACCGGGTGGGGAGAGGTTGGGGCGATGAGATGGTATGGAGAGAAGGCGGGATACACCAGGTCTATTGCCATGTGACCCAGCTCCTCCGATAGGAAGCCTGGAAGAGATTGGGGAAAACCGGGGAGGGGAGGGGCGGGGAGGGGAGGGGCGGGGATGGGAGGGGCGGGGGAGGGGAGGGGCGGGGAGGGGAGGGGCGGGGAGGGGAGGGGCGGGGAGGGGAGGGGCGGGGAGGGGAGAGGCTTGGGGTGATGAGATGGTAGGGAGATAGGGCGGGATACACGAGAATCATGGCCATCTGATCCAGCTCCTCCGATCGGAAGCCTGGGAGAGGCGATGGGCAACAGGAGACGAACGGGGAGGGTTGAAAATGAGCTTATCAAAAGAGAGTGCTTCTTTGAGGCGCCTCAAAAACGATTCTCCAGAGGGCCCAGTTGACCTTCCAAGCCTTCCACCCAGTTCCCCCCTTACATCCCCTCCCTCTGCACACCCCCTTCCGCCCACTCTCTTCCAGTCGCCCCTGCCAACCTTTCTGCATTACCCCGCATTGCACGCATCAGCAGCGGCAAGGAGGAGCCCTTGGAGGATGATGAGGAAGAACACGAACCCCAGCGACGCCACCACGGCCGTCTCAGTAGGGTGCGTTATCAGCCCTCCCAACAAACCCTGCCACACCCTCAATGCCCCCCCACACCCCCTCCCCTTCCTGTTCCTTTCCCCCCCTTCTCCTCCCCGACGTCCAAGTCTCCCCCTCCCATTTTCCTGCACTGCACTCACCGGCGGCGGCGAGAAAGAGCCTTTCGAGGACGATGAGGAGGAAGACGAACCTAAGGACGCCACCACGGCCGTCTCGATAGGGCGCCATATCAGCCCGCCCGACCAACCCCGCCATCCCCACAAGCACCCCCCACGCCCCCTCCCCTTCCTCTTCCCTTCCCCCTCCCAGCCCCACCTCCCCCCCCCCCCCCCCACAACCCCCCCCCCACACACAAGTCCCCCGCATTGCACGCACCGGCAGCGGCGAGAAACAACCCTTCGAGGATGATGAGGAGGAAGACGAACCCTAAGGAAGCCACCACGGCCGTCTCGATCTCCGCCGCCTTCTTCTCCTCCTCGCCCACCGGCCGAGTCGACAGCAACGGCTGAGACGGCGCCGGCCGCCGAACCACTGCCGGCTGCTGCGGCGCCTTCCCGAACCCCTTGCCGGCCGCTGGCTTGCCAGCTGCTGCCTTGCCAGCTGCTGGCTCCTTCACTGCTGACGTGGATGAAGAGTCGGAGGTTTGGGATGGTTCAGGCTCGGCGGAGGCTCGGATGCCTAGAGGCCTGGATGGTCCGGACCGAAATGTGAGATTTGAAGCGGGGTTAGGTACGGTTAGGGGAAAGCGACATCTTGAAGAAGTGAGGGATGCAGGTGATTGGTGGAGGGCCAGGTTGGCGAGAGACATGGAGACGGCCATGTGGGTGCAATAGAATTGTAAGCGCTAACTTGGAGGAAAAGTAGGCTAGCGACGGGATAAAGCCTGGTTACGCCCAAATGTCTAGCCTCGAAATGTAGTTATGCGTGAAGGAACTACACCTAACGAGTTTTTACGAAGTAACCAAGCAATGGCTTTGGGCGTTTCGAGCTCGTGAGAATGTGATCCTGGATTCTAGAGATAGTGGAAACTGATGTGAAGATCACAGAACGACACACAAGGCATTGCTGAGGAGTGTTTGTCAGGTGAATGACATGAAACAAACGGTCAAAACGAGGAAAATGCGTCATCCCATGTCTCGTGTGAGTGTCCCTGAGACACATGACTAGGGGGTGGGTTCAATATGATGTGTGTACTTTGTTTCTATTGTCGGTTCGTGAAACAGGGCTTGGATTCGTTTTGTAATGGATGACACACGGATTCCAAAAGCCAATGGGAGAGAAGAACGTGGATATTCCCGAAGCTCGCAAACCGATTATAGCGGCTCCAGTACAGACGTCAAAATTACGGCTGCTGTAAAAAAATACACCCTAGTCTGTACAAAACAAGTATTAGTTCGAAATCTCAAAGCATGGTGAAATCCATGTGGGCCTCATAACAGCCCAACACTAGTCCTGATTCCTGGGTCGCCCTACAGTTCGTTTCTCCAGCATTCTCTGCTGACACAGCTGGAAGTGCTGAAGCCCATTCCTCCTGACTCCGAACAGAGATTAGTCACTCCGTTTCATACTTCTTAGGGGTCTCGCTCTGCCCTTCCTCCCTCTTATCGAGCCCAGGAGCGAACTTTCCCCCTGCTCGTTCACCAGATTCTTGCCCTCCTGGCCGGATCAGTCGCTCCCCTGTCTCAAACTCCATGTCCAACCTGTCATCACCGTGCACCAGCGACATGAAACAGCAGCACCAGGAATTATATCAGATATGTACTACGAGGGAACAAAACAATACAATCAAACAAACAAAAACCGAGCATACTTAATCTGTTCCTCTGCCTTCTTGGCCGCCGGGCGTGGCTCCTGCTTCACGCGTTCTGCCATGGTCACACCTAATCGGCAATTCCTCAGAAGGAAGATCGTGTATTGTCTATTGGAGGAGAGTAATCGCGACGAGGCGCACACCGTTCAGCGTTCAGGCTCACGAGATCAACCAGAACCAGGTAGACGAACAAAATTCTCTGCTTCTGAGGAATTGCCGAGTGGCCTCATCTTCCCGCCTCGGATGCCAGAAGTCCTCCATTTCGGAGCAGTCGGTCTCTCTGGCTCGGTACCAAACCTAGCATCCGGAATCGCCCTCTTCGCAACGCCGGTTCTCGCGAGTCGAGAGTGAGCCCGCCCACCTCACGAGCTTTCGCGCGAGGTCAGACGCAAGTGTAGTAGCAAATGTGTTTAATCGGCCACGCGAAGCGTTGAGCGAAACTCCACCACAGCAGTGCATGCTCGACGCCCCACAGCTGCTGGCGATCATGCAGACGGCTTGGTTTGGTTGGAATCGCGAGCACAGAAGTCTCCAGCTGGGCTTTGCCAGAAAGGTGCTTCGCCTCGGCACAACAACCAAGCAAAATGCAGAGGAGGGGAAGCGGGAAGCTAAGTGGTCGTCGTTATATCTGGGTGACTTGTACAGTAAAATAAGGGAAGCGGGCACTGTACATTGCAGGAAAAGTACACCTCCAATCTGTCACACAGAAGCCTGATCCACCTGTTCGGTAAAAGAACATTCTCCTCCAATCTCCCTCGTTCCTTCCCCCCCACGTGGAGAGACCACACCACACACTTCACCTGTTAGTTAGAAGCCCACCCCCAGCCAGCCGTCTCTGTCGGCTCCGCCTGGTCGGCATGGGCAGTAGTACAGCAAACTTCCCCTCCAAAATTGCAAGTCCACTTCCCACCCCGCTAAGCGAGTTATCTGGAGTGTAGCCACAGCCAGTTTTTCAGGAACCGCGGGAGTAATACAGCGGTCACACAACTCATACTACGCTTGGATGTGAAACCTGAAAGGTCTTTCTGGTTGTGTCGGCGACATTGAGCCAAACAAGCACGACAATGCTGAAGGTTGCGACGATTCGCGAGTTTGACAGCAACCGTCGCTCCAGGCGAGCTCCTGCGCGTGGTCGTTACGAAAAATCGCCCAATGGCAGTCCCTCGAGCTCTCCGACTGCAGCAGCAGCGGCAAAAGGAGGAACTGCGAGCTCGAGAGGCTTCGCAGCAGCCAGGGAACGTGGTGGTCATACTTCCCATAGTCACGGCCTCAGTCACGGCGCGCACAGCCACGTCCATCATCATCATTCCCAATACAAACCAAAATGGGCCACTCGGTAAGTGCAGCAGCTATTGCGGCTAATTGCGGCAAATGGCGTGCAGCCTATCGTGCAGTGTGTCGCATTTTCGTTCTTCCTCGTCATCTACCCACCCCCCCCCCCCCCCCCCCCCCCCCCCCCCCCCCCTCCTTCGCCCCCTCCATCGTACCCGATTCAGTGTGACTCCGTTAACGCAGGAGGAGAAGGACGAGCTGGAGGTGGTGAAGACCCCAGGCCTGCTCGCACCCATGAGCATTTCAGTCAGGCAAATGGTGATTGACGCGTGGAGATCATTTGCGGGAGAGAGCAATTCATGCAAAAAGAAATTAAAGATTACCTGACTGGCATTGGAAAGACGTGGGAAGATTTTGCTGTCACTTTAGTCCGATGCAGGCACCTTAGTTCTGTCACTTTCATGAAAATTTTGCTGTCCTTCCTATGGAAAATCTCCATTCACGAATTTCACCCTCCCTCCCTCGTTACGTCCCTACTCCTGCTCCCTGGCGCAGCCCGACAATCCCGAGGAGTTTGAGAACCTTGGCTCCATGCGCACGCGCTTCTCCCCAGCCCTCGTCTACAACCTTCTCAGAAACTTCGAGGATGCTCCACGTGTTTTTAAGAACATCGCCCACTGTGACGTGGACCCACTGGAAGAGCCTGGCACCTTTAGAGTCACACAGCACGTCAAGTGGCGCTTCCTGTTTCTCTCCGGCACATTCGCCACCACACTCATCTGCCAACGAAATGATGGAGCAAGATCAGTCAATTTCACACTGTAAAGATTCTCTCACCCTTCTCTCTGCACTTCTCTCTCTTTTGTACTCTCTTCTCCCTATGTTGTTCTAACTGTAGTCGCCTCTCACTGCATGCTGCCCAATGGCATCTCTTATTTTCGTTTCGCTGCTGCATCACTTCACTCTTACCAGGGCGGAGCCTGGCTTTATGAAGGCTTTCAAAGGAGGCTGGACTATTCACGACCTGAGCCCTCCCAAGCCGTTGCCCCTTGCACCTCCATCTACTCCGCCTTCCAAGGTAGCTCTGAAGCCCAGCTTCCTTCAGTCGCTGGCAGCAGCACTTCCAGGGGCGGCTGCCACAGCAGCTGAAACAGCAACTCCTTCTGGGGTTGCTGAAGGAGCAGGAAGTGGGATGCCTCCTAGCGGGTCGCTGATTGAGATGTGGCAGCTGTCTCAGCCTGCAATGGTTCCCCCTCGACCACTTTGTGAGTGTTCATTCATGTTGCACAAAGGACCACTCTAGATTTTCAGTTGCCGATGTAAAAATTGCATCATTTTTTGTTCTGCATTCTAATAATTGTGATGACTGGTCCAACCTTCCTGGTTATTGCAGTGCCCTATGTTTATGGCATCATGTCAACCAGCATGCGAGCGATTTTTCAAGACTTGTGTGTTGAGGCTGACCGAGTTGAGCGGTTGGAAAATTACTCATCTTCCCAGTCTCAGTCAAACATTCTGGTTTCAACTTAGGTCTAACACTAGCTCCAACTTAATTTATAAATGCCTCACCTTGGCATGTACTTGTACCACATAATGCAACTGTCCCGGAGATTCGATTGAATTTTGGATAATCAGCGTCAGCCTGAACCTGTTCCGTAAAGCGCCACATCACCGTCGCTTCCACGTCACCGCGTTTCCCGCCACAATCGCCTTTCCCCGGCCTGTCGCCAAACCACATGTCACGTGCGCCTCACTTTTTCGCCTCCCCTAGGTCCGCCAACACCCCCGAATCCTCCCGCACCCCCACCACACCCCCCCCGCCACACCACACCAACCCCCCTTGCTTTCAGCTTCCCCCACCCACTCTTCCCCCGTCCGACAACTCCGCTACACCACATGAAAGCCCCAGTAACTCAGGAAATTCTGACTGCACCCGTAGATTCTTGTTAGGAGCACTTAATTTCTGTACCACCTTCATTTGAGTGCCTTCCCTTTTCAGTCTCATTTAGCCGCACAACGGTAGTTAATCTGCCACGTTAGGCCACGTGAGGCAGTGATTCCAATGGCGGCTCTCGCATCCTCCGCGTCTCTTCGCCTCGCGGCAGCGCCGCTTGCGGGGAAAACCCAGGCTCGCCTCAGCTGCTCGCAAAGCGAGCTCGCGGGACTTTCGCAAGGCCTTGCGAACATGTCTGTTTCCCGCTCGTCCGCACAGCCTGCGGTTAGCCGCGTCGTCACGCCAGTCGCAAGTAAGTCGTTTCCAGTCTTAGTCGTACGAGAACCAGGCAAGGGTTTACTCTCGGGTTTAACACATAGTTCTCTCTGGCCGGCTATTGAGCCTGCGTGAGCTCGCCAACAGCTTATTAAGTTACACGGCCGTTGTCACGTGGCGATGATACATTATTTTCTCTGCTCGAGTCTACAATGGACGGCATTTGATCCCTTAGGTCTCAACTCAACCTTCTGCCGTTCGTTTGCTACATTCTATCAACTCGGCGTTGAGAAAGCGCTTGTGCAAGCCACATCCGCTGTGATGGAAACGACGAAAGCTTTCATTGTATCACGCACTCGGTTTCATTGTGTCCGGCAGCGACTATGCATTTTCGAGAGTCGTAAAGGCAGGCGGGTTGCTTCGAAAGGGCCTTAGTGAAAGGCGTTAATGATTTTTTTCTCATTTCTGAAGGGCAGAGGAACGCTTATGGAACAGAGGAGACGGACGAACAGAAGCAGCTTGGGTGGTAATAGGAGAGGGGAATGTAGCAACAGACGGGGGGTGGGTAGCAGCAGAGAGGAGGAGAGGAGGATGCAGTAGAATTGCCGATATGAAGTTCCATGAGAGACGTTGCGAACGTGAGAGCGAGGGGAAGAAGAGGGGAGGAGGAGTGAACAACCAATGGAGAAGGATTGAGTGGAGGAGACGAGGACGAGGAGGGAGGGCAGGACAGGGCAGGACAGGAGGCGATGGATGGAACTCAGGAGAGGGAAGCTGAGGGGAGTGGGAGGAGGTGAGGGAGTGGGAGAAGACGAGATGAGAGTGGCAGACGAGTGAGGAGATGAGGAGTGAGTGGCACGAGGCGAGGGAGTGTGAGGAGATTAGAGAGTGTGATGGGATGAGTGGGAGGTGATGAGTGTGAAGAGATGAGGAATTGGAAGGGGTGATTTCAGGAGGCAGTCGGCGTGACAGCAGCCGCCGGACCGACTTTTGTTGGCCTCGTCTCTCCGCCATCTTCCGCATTGTCCGCCGCGCTCCCACCCCTCTCCTTTCCCCACCTTCACCTCTTCTCCCCTCCCCACTTACCACCTTCCCCTTTCCCACTCTGTTCATCCGACCTCCCAACCCCCCCTCCCCCCCTTTCCCCTCTCTGTGTTTCCTCCCCTGCCTTCCACAACTCTCCCTCCCTCCCCACTTCCTTGTCGTCCCCTTCGTTCACTTCCTCCTCTCTCTGTTCCTCTCGCTCCTCCCTTCGTGAGCCCTGACTTTTCACCCTCTTCTCTCCCCTCCCCCCCCTTTCCTTTCCCTCTCCCGTTTCACAGTAGAATGCGATGTGACAGGCAGGAATTAGAAATTCATGGCTGCTTCGCGCTCCAACCACCCTTACCTCCTTCGTCCTTCTCCCTTGTACCTTTTCATCAAGCCTTCCCACCCCCACCCCCCACACTCCCTTCTTCCCCCTCTTCTTTTGCCTGCCATTTCGGTCCTCATTTCCCTCACAGCGAGCGTGCGACCGGACAAGCAAGAGGCGCAGCAACGGCTACTCTTCTCCTTCCCCGTCTCCTTCTCATTCTCCAACCCGTGTCTATTCGTTCCTTGCCTTGCCTCTCCTGTCCTCTCGTCCTTCCCCACCACACCCCTCCAACCCCACCGCTCAGCCCTTCTACCGTCCTTCCTCTTTCCCTCTGTCTCGCATTCTCCTTTCCCCTCTTCCCTTTCCCTCGTCCGTGCGCCTTAACATCCCTTATTCCCAGAGCCAGGGTCTTACCTGATGGGCAAGAGGCGTAACAACGGCCACTTTATCCCCTTGCCTCCCCTATCCTTTCTTCCCTCCCACCACATCCCTCCCCTCCCCTACTTCTATCCCCACCACTATTTGCTTAAACGCCTAAGAGCGCATGTGGGACTACAGGGGCAAGAGGCGCAACAACGGCTACTCATTCTCCTTTTCAGACCACCTTCCCCTCTCCCTCTGTCGCACTATCTCCTTCGTCCGGACTCCCTTTCCCCGCTCCCCTGTCGCCAAACTCTCCAGAGCGAGTGTGCGACCTGACAGGAAAGAGGCGCAACAACGGGTACTCGGTGTCATTCTCAAACCACCGCACCAAGAAGGTGCAGCAGCCGAACCTGCAGTACAAGCGTGTGTGGTGGGAGGAGGGGCAGCGGTACGTGCGCCTCAAGCTGAGCACCAAGGCGATCAAGACACTCGAGTGGAAGGGGCTCGATAAGATGGCCAAGGAGGCTGGCATTGATCTTAGCAAGTTCTGAACAGGCTACACTGCTGAAGCGTTTATTTGTATTCATACAGTGCAGTAGCGGTGCAGGTTCACAAGAGTAGAAACGCTCCAGATAAATCCATTACAAACGTATATAGAATCAAATACGTCCTACTCGAAAAGCCCTCATATCTGTTTTAGGTCAGTTAATCGTGGAGAAACAGCCAATTTAGAGCCCCCGCCGCACCAAGGTGCAGCTGCCGAACCGAACCTACAGAACAAGCGTGTGTGGTGGGAGGGGCAGCAGTACGTGCGCCTCAAGATGAGCACCAAGGCGATCAAGACATTCGAGTGGAAGGGGCTCGATAAGATGGCCAAGGAGGCGGGCATTGATCATAGCAAGTTCTATATTCTTACAGTGCAAGGTTCACGATAGATGAACATTACAGAAAAAAACTCGCTCTGAGAAATGAGCACGGGAATGAGGACAGTGGAAAGTATGGGCATGCTAACGGAACACATTCGATATCAGTCTCCAAGATTATTTTCTTTGGCCCAGAACAGTAAAGAAGATGGTCCAAAATCCTTACGTAGTAACTCATTAGAGTCCAAAAGATACGGTATATTCATTGCACTAACTCACACACCGACAACTTTGACATACCATACATCCTCGTGCTATCTATGCATTATTACCCTCTCCTCCCCTGTAAGCCATCCATCCTTCATATCCTCTCTCAAACTTCAAAATATTTTGAGCCGGTAATGAGTCACTCTACAGAGGAGGCACTCCTGAGTCTAGATGACTTGGGAGAGCCGATAGAGAGTGTTTAGATGGTTTGGGCGAGCTGGCACTCGGTGGTGTTGGTCATGGAGTAGCTGTTGCCGTTGCCGAAGCGCAGCTCCTGCACGCAGGGCCGGAAGTCCCACAAGTACGCATACACAATGTTGACCGTCTCCCCGGGGAGCATCTGCAGAGTGCCGCTAGCACCGCGGTTCATGCGCATCTCACAGTACCCCGGCGTCGTCTGCACAAAGATTTCGCCTTGCTGGTACTGCGAGGGGTTGGGATTGGGGTTGTCGAGGATGCCCTCCCACACGTTGCCGAAGTTGAAGCACTGCCACACGCGCAGCGGGCTGGTGACGTTGTAGGCGCAGCCGTTGTAGAAGGTCATGTTGTAGATGTCGTTGTGCAGGTCGTACGGCCCCAGGTACTGAGAGCGGATCGTCACCGTCGTGCGCCCGCAGGCTGGGAACGAGGGAGGAGACGTGGGCAAGGGGGAAAGAGGACAGGGGTGGTTTGAAGGAAGGGAAACATAAAATAAGAATCCAGATTGTAACCGCCATGCACCGTACTCTTCAGCACACAACAATGAAGGAGGAGGCAACGGGAGCAGAGGAATGAGTGGCAAGCGGAGCAGAAAAATCGGAGCAATGGGAGCAGAACAAAAGAGGCCAGGGGAGCAGAGGAATGAGAGGCAAGGGGAGCAGAGGAGTGAGAGGCAAGGGGAGCAGAGGAATGAGAGGCAAGGGGAGCTGGGACGGGCTGTGAGAAGAAAGGAACAGCAGAGCTAAGGAACCAAGGAAGGTAAGAGAGGGAGAGGAGGGAGCAGCGTTGCGTACAGGTGGCGAGGGCCTGGCGGCGGGGGATGTGGTCGAGGTAGCCGGGCAGAGGCTCGTGGTGAGCGAAGGTCTCAGCCGCCAGAATGCGCGCGCCCTTCCTCTGCTGCCCCGCCGCGCCAGCCACTCCGCCAGGCGCGGCGCCATCCGTGGGGACGAGGCCCCTGGCGACCTTCATGGCGTCCCGCGCTCCACTCACCGCCGCCGCCAGCAGCCCCACCGCCAGCGCCGCCAGCACCAGCACGCGCATCCCAGCCGTCGCCATGAGGAGAGACGCGGAGATTACAGGAGAGAAGTGAGAAGCGCGAGAGGCTTGGTGAATACCTCAGTGGGAGGAGTAGTGGGAGCACTGGGCGAGCTGATGAATTGCTGACGGCCCATCATGGCTGTTTTATAGGAGGGGATGGACCGGAAGATGCGGGGCACGGATGATTCTAAGAGAGGGTTTCTCTCCTCTGGCACGGAGGAGGAATCGCCCTTCCTGCTGCTGCAGCTGCTGGTGTTGCTGCTGAGGAGCCATCAATGCTGTGGCAATGAAGGAGGTGAGCAGTCAGGACGGCACGGCAAGAGTCACTGTCGATTGCCATGCTGCCTGCAGAAATCAATCCTCTCACATCGCCACTACTAAACTGTTCCTCTCCTCGCGCCCGCTAAAAATTCCCGCTGAGAACATCCGCTTTGAGCGGCCGCTGCTGTGCATTGCAAGCCGCCGAGAGACACGGAGAGCGACATGATGCCAAAGGTCGGTCGGCAGCAAGAACTCCGACAGATCTGCGAGGCTCCATATCTCGCCGACACGTGGAACACGTGGGACACGTGCGAAATGCCAATGGTCGCCAATCCGTCCTGCTCAGCGCTCCAGCGGCTGTGCAGTTGGCTCAGATCTCGCCGACGGATGTGCAGTCGGGATGCGGAGAGATTTCGATCGGCGGCTCGATCTGAGTCGCAACAACCATGGGGTCGACAGCGACACGGGCGGGGAAGCCCGCGCGGCGGCGACGTTGCTCTGGATGGATCGATCGACGGTTAAACCAAACGACTGCATACGATTCGTCTGATCGGAGTCAGCCACGCTCCAGCTCCTTGACACCCCAGGCCCACAGTCGAGCTTGGGGGACAGTTAACCGGCGGTCTACGAGTCTAACGACATGCAGCAGTCGAATCGCGAACGACATGGTGGTTGCCCTACTAAACAACGGCTTTCGAGGACTATAGACGGTTAGGCTGCTGTATGGTCGGAGTTGCGTGCGTGTCGGTTGATCGTTCTACGGGCAACTAAGAAAATATCGCAACCTAGAAAATAGCGCGAGCAGGTTGTGTTGCAGGGTGGTGGTGTCTATTGGTGTGCCTCGGGCAAAACGGTTATTGCAGCATCACGAAGTCTAATCTCGCACAAACAAATTTTTGGCGAAACTCAGATGTTTGCGAAGCCTATCAGGGCATTCGTGTATGAACGAAATGGGGATTGACGAAGCTGCTGACTGGAAACTGATGTAACCTTGGTGCCCTGCAGAGCTGGACTAGTTTATCCTTGGGAAAATATGTCAATGGTAACTTACATGGGGCAGTATAACGCGTTGTAAGGAATTTTCTCGGCATTCCTTACGGAGCCCGACTACATCGCGTACAGCAACAGTCGTTGTTCGCCCGTTACTGCTAACGGGGCTTCGCCGACTTCGCGCGCACAGTTTCACCAAACCTCGCACTGCTGGCCTGGCCGTGTCGGCCTACGCTTCGGGACTAGCCCGAGCCTCGCTCCAGCGTAGCACTAGCTAGCTCGCACGCACCGCGTTACCGTTTGCATGTTTCGCATACAAATGTTCGCTCATGCCTTCGCTCACATTTTGTACTCGTTTGAGACCTTAGTGCAATTCTCGCTACTTCGATTCATTACACCCGTAACACTTGGTATCAGAGCCCCTTTCTTTCGGACCGCGCATCTCCGCACCCCAGGAAATCAACTTTTGATTTTTCACTCGAAGGGACTCACTTACCTTAGCACCTAGGAGCCGTTGTCATCGCGTTCTCTCGTAAACGCGTGCAGCCACGACTGCGCCTAGACTAAGACGAGCCGACGCCCTTCGAAATGGCTGAACACATCAACGTCACGACTCTCACGCAGGAGCACTTGAACGATCTGCTGCGACAAATCCGCGAGAGCGCCGAGGAAATCGCGACGCTGACGGCAGAACGCTCGTCCCTGCAAAACGACCTCACACGAGCACAATCCCAAGCACCTGGCACTCCGATTCAGCCCGCACCACAAACATCACAGCACGGAAGTGTGGGGCAACCCGCGAGCGCCGCAAGTGATGGCGTCGTCCGCCATGACGGAGACGACGACCACGGCACGACACACCCCGACGCGACGAATGCAGCCAGGACTCAGCCTCAACTCACGATTTCAGTGCCGGCCGGCGGATCAACTCTTCCGTCGCCGATGCCGCTAAAGCCGCAGCGTCCGCCATGCTTTGACCCAAGTCAGCGGGGTGGTCCTACCGTTCAGGCGTGGCTCTTCACGTTGAACGTTTTCTTCGACGCGAACTACGTCTCGGAGGATACGGCGAAGATTCGTTACGCCGTGTCGTTGCTGCGAGGACCCGCCATGGAATGGTGGCGCGTCATCGTCACGAAGCCGGCGGACTACGCAACTCTACCGACAAGGGAAGGACAAACCGGACCCTGGGCGCCATCGTATTTCGTGGAGGTGCCCCAGTATCGCACGTGGGACGCATGGTGCGCAGGTTTGCGCACTCGTTTCGAGCCAATCGCGGCGCGACAGAAGCTCCGCACTTGGCGCCAAATCGGTTCCGTCCAAGACTACACGAGCGGATTTCTGGCGCTATGCGAGCAGGTGGGATATATGCACGAGAGCGAGCGCATCGACAGCTACATCGGCGGCCTGAAGCAGGACATCGCTCAGGAAATCCAGCTCTGCGGCGTCACCGACTTTCAAGAAATTCTCGCCATGGCGGAGAAGCTTGATTTCTTCCGCCGACCGAGACCGGGGTCCTACGGAAGCAGCCATTGGGGACATTGGCCTCGTGGGACGAACGAGGGCGCCACAATACGTGCCGTCGCCGCAAATGCCGCTGCCACACCGTTCAAAGGGCGCTGCTTTGCGTGCAATCGGTCGGGACATCGCAAGAGCGAATGCCCGGAAAACGCTAAGGGAAAGGGGGAAGCTGAGCAGCAGAAACAGACCAAGCAGCAGGGAAACGCTGGGAGTCAGTAGCAGACGGGCCCTCTACTGACAGGTCACGCCGCTCGCCCGACCCAACCGACCCTCACCGACTGATTGTGCCGGTTCACGCAATCGACCACACTCGGCCGAATAAGGAGGGGACTACGGTAGACAGCCCCATACTGCTTAGTGGGAAAATCGCGACGGACTTAGTTAAAATCTTCGTAGACGGAGGAGCCAGCCACAGC